ATGGAGATGGTATGGCGTTGATTCTGGAAGAAGGTGAAACTTCTTCATATAGGGAAGCTCAAGCTTCGGTCAAAAAGCTTGAATGGAATGTTGCTATGGAGCGGGAGATGGAATATCTGATTTACAATAAGACTTGGTTGAACCTCCTAAGGATCAAACGTTGATTGACTCCAAGTGGATGTATAAGCTGAAAGACAATCCAGCAAGAGACAAGGCAAGAATCTTCAAAGCTATGCTGATGGCTAGAGGTTTCACACAAGAGAAGGGTGTGGACTATAACGAAGTTTTCTCACCTGTAGCTAAGTATGCTACAATTCGTCTGGTATGTGCATTGGCTGTGATATTTGATCTTGTTATGGATCATATGGATGTGGTTACAACCTTTTCTATAATTATTTAGAGAAAGAGATCTACATGAGACAACCTGTTGGGTTTGAGGTCAAAGTCAAAGAGATGTTGGCTTGTAGATTGTTGAAATCATTGTATAGACTGAAGAAAGCTCATAGGCAGTGGAACACGTGATTGATGAGTTCATGAAGTCACACAGTTTCTTACTGAACGTGTATGATCATTGTGTCTACATGAAGAAGGTAAAAGATGAGACTTTCAATATCATCATGTTTAGTACTTTACGTTGACGACATGCTCATCTTGGCAAAAAATCAATTCGATGTTGATGAATGCAAGAGTAAGTTGAAGTATGCATTTGGGATGAAGGATATGGGGAGTCAAAGAGAAATATTAGGCATAGAGATGCATAGGGATCTTGAACAGAAGAGGCTACGGCTGAGTTAAGGCAAGTATGTTTGTCGTATATTTGACAAGTTCAACATGGTTAATTTCAAAGGAGTATGTACTCCTTTGGTAGCACATTTCAATGTGCTACCAATGCTTTGCAAAAAGGAAGAATGTCATGTGTTTCTTAAAAACAAGCCTTAGGCAGCCTCATGTATTTGATGTTGTGCACTGGGCCGGACATTGGCTTTGCAATGAGCAATGTGAGTAGGTACATGTAGAATCCAGGAAAGCTTAACTAGGAAGCAGTGAAATGGATTATAAGATATTTGAAGAGTACTTTGGATTATGGCTTACTGTTAGATGGTCTATTTGACAACGCCAAATCCTTGTTTGGTTACGTTAATACTATACAAATAGATATGATTTAGATAAAAGTATATTCACAACTAAATATGTGTTAACACTTGGCGGTGGAAGCATTAGTTGGAGGTATACCTTGCAGAAATGCGTAACTCAGTCAACAACAGAAGCTGAATATGTGGCAGCAGCAGAAGCGAAAAATGAAACTATTTGGTTGGATAGGCTTATCATAGAAATGGAATTGAAGTAAGTGTGGTTTATCTTCATTGTGATAGCCAAAATGTTTTACATTTGGTTGCAAACCAAGTCATGGATAGAAGATAGAAGCACATCAACAACATGTACCATTTTATCAAACAAGCAGTGTCTGATCAAACGATTGAGCTAGTCAAGATCGACGGTAAATTCAATCCAACTGATGCTTTGATCAAAGTTATTCCTTTGGAGAGTTTCAGGCGACAATGTGCTACCATGCAGGTTGTGCATGGGGAGCACATGTATAATTTGCTAGCATAGTAACTTTAGTTTTCTCTTTATATATTTACTCTATCTTGTGATGACTATGGTTTAGCTCTAGTTAACTCTTGTGTAAAGAGTGAGCTTGTATTAAGTTTCTTTCTAGAATTTTCCGTTGACTAATTATATAGACTATGAGATCTCTTATACTTCTATGCAAGTAGATATTCTTTTTACCTCTTTATGTTATTAATGTATTATGTTATAACTACGGTCTGGTTCTAGTTAACTCTTGTGTAAAGAGGGGCTTTCGTGCTAGGTTTCTATCTAGAACTTCTTGTTGAGTAATAATATAGGTTACATATATTACTATTTTCTTAACACGAGTTAAGGGGGAGATTGTTGAGATTAACTCCGGTTAAGTAGTAACCTCAGGTTATAGTTATTTATAGCTAGATGTGTCGCTGGCTTTGGATATAAATATACACCAAGGCTTTTAATACAAAGACATTCAGTATTCAGTTCTCAGTAAAGCTTCTAGTGTGTTTCAACCATGGACGTAGTCCCTAAGGGTGAACCACATTATATGACTGTGTCATGTGTTTCTACTTGGCTTGAATGATTACTCGTTTTCCGTTTAAGAAAATTCTTTCATGCATTTTTTTATAAATTTAACATCTTATTTAAAAAAAAAACTTCAACAAATTGTTTTTCAAGTAATTTAACAAATTCAAATTATATTCAAATTTTTTTTACTCATGTTTTATGCATTTCCTCTTAAAATTATTCAAATATGTTTTTGTATTAAAAAAATATGATAAAAATATTATTCATTAATTTTTTGCTAAATTTTTATTTTTCGATATAATTGTTCATAATTTCTTACAAGTAAGATGCTCAATTAAAAGAAAATTATTCTAGAAGGAATTTTTTTTATTTAAATTTACATAAATCTATAAGACTGAAGTTAAGCTGATTATACATTTTTTAATACAGAAATTTTGTCTATTTTTCATACATTTAAAATATTTAATTCACTTTTACTTATATTTAAAAAATATTATTATATTTTTTTCCTTTTTAACGTAAGTTTATATTTAAATTTAAACTTTAAGTATTTCAAACTTAAAATTTTAAAATAATATAGAGGTGCAATCACTAAATGTGTACATTTAAATAAATATTTGAAATCTTGTAAAAATATTTATTTTATTTTGCCTTATTGAAATTGAAATTTCTGATATTTGACTTAACTATATAAAAACTATTTCTTTCAAAATTTGTTAATGTTGTCTAAAACTCTGGCTATATCACGTAATTCTTTCAAAAAAATTTATGCAATCACGGTTTTTAAGGTATTTGATTTATCAATAAAATTTCAAATATAACATAAACATAAGTACTGGTTGTTAAATACATGTGAGGAACAAATTAAATCAGTTCATATACGATACATCCATCCTGAGATGGATGTATCATCCATTTGTAGTGAATGTTTTAAAATGTATTCAAAATTGATTTTAGTAAATATGTTTGAAAAAGAAGTTCCACACTTTATGAAAACTAAAATTTAGTGGAAAAAATATAGAATTTATGTATAGGAAAAAAATTAAACAATTACATATTTGATATCTTGATGATGCACTGGCATGAAGATCTTATGCCTTGATATGTCAAGGATTTTTTACATAATTTGTCTCATGCTTTCTACAGTAAATGATTATATTTGTTACTTTGTTTGTTAGATATCAATCGAAAACCTTCACATCTGCATGAAAAACATCAAAACTAGAAGAAGGTTTCAATATGCTTTAGCATGAGCAGAGAAATTTATTATTGTTGTGGACTCATGATCATAACTAACGCACTTCATTGATAAAAGACAGTCCTTTGGAGCTTCTGCATTATTCAATCGTAGCATGTAGTAGAAAAAAAGTAATGGAGAGTAGCATGTAGTAGAAAAAAAGTAATGGAGAGAATCACATCTCTATTTGATCGTCTGTGCATGGAGCAGTTGGACATGGGATGAATATGTTCATGCCAAAGTGATCTCGCCAGACCTTGTCTTTTGCATATAAATAAATATAAATATATATATTCTTCTGCATACCGACTAGCTCATAATATTGTTATCTTGGTCTTTACCTGCTGTCACGTTTTGGACATCAGGGTTTTCCTGTAGAGGTAAATTTAGTCATTCATGATATCACAAGCAAACGAATATCGTTTTGTACCAAGGAAATGCCTTAGACCAGATGAAAGAAAGGTAGGATTTCACATCTTTCTTCTACATTCTGCTTTAATGACTCGCATGTATGAAATGAGAGGAAATATACCTAAATACTGCAAGATGTATTGCGTTCTCCTAATTCCTCCGTCATTGCATGGCAATCTATTGAGTTCCTGACAAATAGGAAAAAGACGGAAAGGTGATTGTAATAAATTAAAAAAGTAGAAAAACAACCCTCAAGTATTATATGGATGAAATCAATTGAACAGGAGGCTTGCTCTCATATAATCGAATGAAATCCAAGACGTCTAAATATTTTATGCCAAATATTCTACAAACAGCGTGAACGTCCAAGTATCGGCTAATGAATCATCTCTCTTCGACATTGGAGTAACTAATGCTATGCATAGAAGAAAGAAAGAAATGTTGATTTGATTTACGATCTACGTAGGAATGAAATCCTCGCTCTTGTGTGGTCCGTTCTCAACTATCCTTTGCTTTGTCGGTTGAAACTCATTCACATGAAAGAGAAGGGGAAGTGCAAACACATCGACCATGGAGTAGAGAAACGAAGTTCTTCGCCCTGGAATTCTCGTTCTGCAGTGGCTAACGGGGAAAAGCAAAACTCCGAAGAGTCTTCGAGAAAAAAGATCGGATCAAGACGAGCCCGTAACGAACCAGAAACGGAGGAGAAAGGCTACTGGGTGAGCAGGGCATGACCGTACGCATGTGCCGCTGACTATGTCTGCGTATGAGCTCATTCTATAATGGGCGTCTGTTAGCCGTCCAATGGGACGGACAGGTGGGATGCAGCAGCCTTTCTGAAAGGCGTTCCGTGCCTTTTGCCTTTCCGTCCGGCCGCAATCACGAACCAGGTTCACCTCGTCCCTATCGCTTACAGCGGTTTGGTGTACGAGGCGAGGACGACGTTGACGATTACCACGTACCGAAGGACCGGTACGTGGACTAGTAGGAGATATAGTTGTGGTGCCTTTGATTTTCCTCGCTACCACGAGGGCATGGAATGGAACGGCGGTGAAATGTCGGTGAAACGGGAAGGGAAGGGTACCGAGTAAAATAGCAAAAATCATGGCCCGACCTCGTCGAGTTGTACGAGAGAGGAGAGCGGACGCTCAGGACATGTCGTGGTCGTCGTGGTCGTCGTCTGACCATGACCAGCTTCAGTTCTTTCGTACGTACGTACTCGGTAGAGAAGGAGGAGGAGGAGGAAGAGGAAGAAGGAGGAGAAGTAGGGTCCGGGAAATCCACTGAAGTCGGTGGACCTTGGCACAAAGTGGAAGAAGATTCTGTCATCGGCGTTCGTTCGCATGCGTGCCTTCGTCGTCTACAAGTGTCGCCTGGCGAGGATTCCACAGATCTGCTCCTTCGGCTTCGGCTGCTGCTGCTGCTGCTGTCTCGCTGCGCTCGCAGTCGAGCATCGCATTCGTTTCCTTGGCCCTCAAGGCGTCTTCTTTTCCCACTGCCGGGTGATCGCTCGCTCTGCAGCTCCTTGACGGACCCCATTCGTCGTAGTCCTTCGCTGAGTCGTCTGGCTGGCGATGGAAGCGCTCATCTCTCTCTGACCGACCGACCAGTCGCTCTTGTCTGCTCGTGCTATTCTGGGTCTCAGGTCTCGTTCTCCGCCACTGCAACTCAATTTAGCCAATCTGGTTATTTGCATGAGGTCGTCGGACGCAGACAATTTTATTCGTCGTTGCTGCCGTTTGGAGCGTTTCGGTTTCTGTCCGGCTTCTCGCGGGAAGACCTAGATGGTTTGAGAGGATGCTCTGTCTCTTCTGATTATTTTTGAGCAATGCGAGAGGGGTCGTTGCTCTCGGGTTTGTGGCCCGCTCCACCGGGCCGTGCCTTTGAATTTTTGATGGATGGTCGTCAATTATTTGCGGGATGACTGTCGGTCCTTCGTCTACCGACTTCGTATTGAAATATGCAGTTTTGAAAAGTTTCTAAACGTAATTCGGAGTTGCACCGTTCCTTGTAGGACGTTGACAAGGAGGCAATTTCCCTATGGATTTTGGGCTCAATTGTTTGTGTGATGGACCCCCCTTCGCGCTGGGTGAACTCCTGGCACCTGAATAGCGATTTGCCTGACCGTCGACTCTTTTCTCTTCCTGCGACAGGAATACAATCTGCAGCCATATCCGGTTTTCCCTCCTCAATTGTGGAAGTCTCTGGTAGCATCTTGTTTTATTGGAACCTTGGAGCGGCGATCACAGAATTTCTTCCACGGGCTCCAGTCGCAAGTTGAGAATTAGGTGACGTCTTCAAACTAGAATTGCTTTGATATGTGTGACCTTTTCAAGTTATCTTGACATAGAAGACTCTCTAGCTATTTTCGATTTTGAATAGCTTGGGATTATTCGTTTCTATGTGAATCCGAAGGTTTTGGAGTTAGGGTAACGAACGCCAGGTTAATAATCAGTTAATCATTAAGTCCACAATCAGCTTTTGAAATAGGTTGCAGCATAGTGTCTTGCGATTCAAAACGTTATCCACTGAAGGATCTGGGACGTTAGTACAGTTAAGTTGTTACTACGCGCAATCTTCCTTCACTAACGTCAAAATTGGAATGCTTGTGCAGGTGGAAATTTCTCTGACAGACTAAAGGTGATCGTAAATCAAAAAGGAAAGAGGGATTTGGCTCGAGGAATGGAGAATTTCCGAGCTGGCTGGAGGGGATGCGAGCAGGCAATCCAGGAGTGAGAAATTATCTATTATGACCTACGCGTAGCGGATATGAGCCAGGGGATCGACAGGGAATCTGAAACTTTGAGGAAGGGAATTGAAATTTGAGATCACATCGTAGTTGAATGAAGCGATGAGCTTTTCGACTACGGATTAGACTAGCGGGTTAGAATAATCAATAACTTCTTCGGTGTCGATCTGCTTAAGAACCATCTGTATTTAGGTGGTAATGAACAGTTTGATAAAATTCGAAAAGTCCGGATCAGAATGTTGAGGAATCTAGCTGTAAAAAGGTGAAGGTGACTGCGCTGGTGCTATTTTCCGGGCACAGAATATTTGAAGTCGTAATCTAAACGGACTGTCAGGTATGGACATCAGGAGATGGAGTTCTTAACTGGAAATGCGAGAATGTTCATGAGGCTTCATGTTTGAGCTTCTGTGTATGAGAAGCTAGGTAAATTATTGGGGACAATGACTCGTGTAGTTGTACAGAGAGGCGCCGCAGCCTCAAATTCCTCTCATAACCGCTCGTCGTCGACACCCCCCTCATCAGCCACATCGTCACAGGCTTCGTCTCACGCTTCAGTTCAACCATCTCATAGCCCCCCCTCTGGTAGCCATGCGGAGGAAGAGATAGTCCTTGAAGCGAAGGAGGTTGAACCGGTAAATTTCTACGGTGGGGAGTCTGAGAGTTTGGTGACAGAATTGATCAACAAAGCAGTAGCTCACCAGGGCCCATACGAAGGAAGGGGTTTCGAAAGAGAACAGACATATGGCTATGGGGAATGTTCAGATCAGGCATCTACGAGCTCCTCTACCATCAGGGAAACTGAGGGGAGAGTGGAGAGGGACGGAGTAGCTCAGGTCAATCAATCTCATTCACAGAGGCAGGAAGGGGGAAGGGATTCTTCCGAAATAGTTGAATCTTTATGCTTGCAACAAGCAGAGGCAGCCAAGGAGCATGGAGAGGAAGCACAAACCTTCCCATCTCCCTCAAAATGTGATAGAGATGGAGGGTCCTCTTCCTGTGATTCAGCCGGACCTTCTAATGAGTGGAAACCGGAGCAACCTTTGCATCCACCTCAATCTTTACCTCCTTCCTTCTCCTCTCATCATTATCCAGCGTCATCTTCTTGGCATGCCAGTGCAGGGACATTGTCAGGACCTTCTGCTTCATCGCCAGCGTTTCCACTCTCGTTCCCATCTCAGAGTTCACTCGACACAGTGACGGGGCCCGATACTGATCATGGCAGACCTAATTTCTTTCAAAATCCTTCCGAACTAGTTGGTTGCTCCTATAATCCGACCTCTTCGGCCTCCCAACCTTTACCCTCTTCTTCATCCAGGAGAAACACCTGGGTAGGTGTAGCTGCATCCCGAGGAGGTTTTTCTCGTCGTGGTCCAAGAGCCTGCAAGCCTTCACGGATTTCTCCTAACAGCTCAAGACCAACTTCTCCGAAGTCGTATGGAGAAGGTGATGGATACAACAGCGCAGATGAGCAGACTCCGTGGTCTTCTGGGTCGGCGGGTTACGAGAACAACGTAATTATTTCACACCTCCTTTTGGAGATTTCATGTAGGCATTTATGTCTATGTGATTTTAGTCCATGGGACCTTCAACAAGGGTACAAGTCGAAGTTCATATACTCGGACCGGAAATTAGGAAGTTAAATTTTTCAGGATGAAGTTTTTAGGCTTATTTTCGAAGATTTGATTTTCCAGCCTCATGGTCGCCGGAGCTATAGTAAGGAGCTGTTTGAATGATCTTAGAAAGAAGTTATCTTGTGTGTATGCCATCACATAGATTTTGACATCACCTACATTTAATGGGCTTGTAAGCAGATTGTAACGTTATTGTTATTTGCTCCGTGACAGGGGGAAAGAGAGCATCAGTTTGAGGTGGAGATTAGGCGAGCTAAAAATTTGGAGGTGCGACGCATGGCCGAAGATGGTAACTGCTTGTTTAGAGCTGTCGCCGATCAAGTATATGGAGATGCAGAGATGTATGACGAGACTCGGCAGATGTGTATAGACTACATGGCACGTTCTCACATTCTCTCGCTTCAGTCGTGTATTCTCAGTTTTATAACGTTTCGATATGTCTGCATTCGATATATTATTTTGCTGCTAGATTTCAGCCGATCTCTGGAACTTGCTTCCCGCTGCAACGTGGAGGCCTTTCAGAAAAAAATCTTCTTGTTGCCTAAATTCGACCCTTCGTATTTCGAAAGGCATAGTTTTATGTTTATCTCAGAAACTTGAAGGTTTGTTTTAACTTTTGCTTCTTATTCTACTCGGTCAGCGAAACGAATCTACAGCGCCGGCTCTTTTCCATTTTCCAAATCTCAAACAGGGTCACATCACTTGAGTTTTGGCCCTAGGCAAGCTCATCCTTGGTATCTCGTCAGATGCACCACTTGTGGTCTCATATCCTGGTTTTCACGTGAAGAGGGATATAGATTTGGGTCTCTTCATGTGTCTCGTTATACATGTGCTGTTTCTATGCAGCTTCCATAGTTCTATGAAAGGGTCGGGTCCTTTCATAGAACTGTGGAAGCTCGGCTGAAGTGTTTGTCATTCGTTACGGATTATCGCTTATTTTTCCAGAGATGATAGTCATCTCACTTGAAACAGTTACATGCTCTGAGAGCGTTTACACTAAAGAAGGGCTTGTGTAGTGATATCTGGGACGACGATCAGTGAACTCTCATGGTCCCAATACAGATCCAGTATAGGTTTACGAAGTAGATGTGAATCATTATGTTCTGTTCGCCCAAAACACTTTCAGTGATTGAAATTTACAGTTATAACTCCTACACTTCCGTTGAGGAATTTATCTTTTCTCTTGTTGGCGCCAGGATATGTTTTTGGAGACAATACCTTGTTGGAACCTATCAAAGCAGGAAAATGGCGCATATTTCTTCCTATAAATTGTCCTTATGATATAGAGGGTGGCTGATGATATTATTCGAGCTTCAACTACTTCTTCCTGCCTTTACACGATGATTACTCTGACCCTGTAGCAATCACAGACCGCGGGGACGCCTTTTATTAGGCCCACCCGCAGTCTTATTTGACTTTTTACAATAGGGTGGCTGGTGCTGTGAGCTTTCTAAAGGCATTTTAATTCTCAGTTATGGATTTACAACCTGGTATAGTCATGGCAGAACGGAAAGATTTCAGCCTCAGAGGTCAAACCAAGCCGTACTCTAAACTTTGGGTTACCTCAAGTATGTGCTATATGTGCTGCTTTGACACGTAACAGGGTAGTAGTGAATCAAGTAGTGAATCTCTAGGATAAATGTCATCGTGTTTCATGGGGTTTTTCCTGGCAATAGCATGCATTGGTGTCTAGCTGCATACGGAGTGAAACCAGTATCCTCCTGATGTAAAGCATTTGCCTGCCTTATAGAACTCAGGGTAGGTTACTTTCTACAAGTTCTCTCGCTTGGTTCACCACATGGGCTGAACTTGCGATGCTTAGCCATATTTTTTTAAGAAACCAGGGAGAGGACTTTGTTTCGGATTACCACTCCGATGTGTATTGTTATCGAGCAGCAATAGCTCGAATTGCATACTCTTGTGCATTTGAATCTTTCAGGAGTCTGGTCGCACTTCACCTGCCCAGATCGAAAGCTTACTAGAAACGGCTGAACCTCGTATTGCAGCATGTGTCTCTGTGCTGTTCATAATTAAGCTGGCTGTTTTTGACAGAAACGTGAAGAAAGTGTTCAATAATTTGATGTCGAGGATTAGTAACTTGCATGTCCATGTCGGCATGAAGTTTGAATGAATCTTGAAAATGATACTGTAAGGAGAGAATTGATTACTGATGGATTTACTTTTTTACAAGTTGTAAAACGTTTCATTCTTTTCTAGGCTCTAAGTGAACACAGTACACTTTTCCTATGTTTTCACATTCTTTCTGTAAAGAGGATTGCATGTTCTTGAATTATTGAGACCTGCCAAGAATGGTCTCACGAACATGTATTGACCCTTTAATTTATACTCAAGACTTGAAGGCAGCAAGAATAATTCATCTTGCAACTGAGCTTGATGTCTCAAACGTCACTTTTATAACCTTCAGTAGGCTACCGTGGTTTTCTAATCAAAGACCTTCGTGTCGTATCGTAGCTTTAGGTTAGTGTCATTGGATAGGGCTCATTATGTAATCAACGTGAAATCAAGCAAGTGGCCTGAAACTTGTGCTTCTGTTTTCAACAGGAAAAGGAGAGGGATCATTTTTCTCAATTTGTAACAGAGAGCTTCACCGCGTATTGCAAAAGAAAACGAAGAGACAAGGTGAGCGCGGCGTTGAACTTTGTGGGTAGAAAGTTGATCGAGCTACCTTGCTGAAACTTAAGGGCGCTTTACTATTATCACCGAAGAGGCTCTTGCAGAGGCAGGGAGTGGTGATTTAACTCCAAGATACTGATATCTTTTCTCCAATCCATTCGTCATTTTGGAAGGTTCATGGTAACAACCTTGAAATTCAAGCTATGGCAGAGATGTACAACCGGCCTATCCACATCTTTTCTTACAGCATGGGTATGAATTCACAACATTCAGGTCCTTTTGGTCTTCCGTGGCCATGGATTCCATGGCAGTAGGGTAGTAGTCTCTTTTCGGCTTATCTTTCGGGAATACCTGATACTAGTACCTCATGTAACCTGGCACAAGGCAAGGTCCGAGAAGTTGAGCTTGTTTATTCATTATTCAGATTTCCTTCATTTGAGTGCTTGGTTTGCAGGTCTTTAATGTAATGTAGATTTGGGATTACTTGAATGGCCATAGCCAATTAGACATGGTTTTTCATGGTCGATAGTGCCGATTTGGTCAAACATCACGCATACTTAGAGTTGGGTACTAGAAACACAGTCGATGGCGGTGGGTTTTAAAGCAACTGGCTAGGACTCTGCTGGACATAATGTGGCCTAGTTGCCAAATGTGTCGGGGATGTCTCTTATGACGAAGTCTCTCTTGACAGTTTTTCTATATTATTATTACAAGTGTCTGATTCTTTGCTCGGCTCTGTTCTGTGAAATCAGATCCCATCAACATTTTTCACGGTCACTATGAAACCGACTTGCCACCCATTCGCCTCAGCTATCATCGAGGAAACCACTACAACTCTTTGATAGATCCAAGCAGACCAGCAATTGGAGCAGGGCTCGGCTTTGGCAGCCTTAGGGGGGTGAGAACAGCTCTCCTCGATTTTTTTTTTTTCTGCCAAGGACCACACTCGGTGAACATTTTTGCGGACCTTGGATGGCATAGAAGAAAGACTCGGAGGGATCCGCAGTCACGGAAGCCCTCGTTCCCGTTACTGGTGTACGATAGTTGTGTTAATTACAGCAAACAACTAGGCCTTTTGCGTTAATCACGGATATCAGTACTTTGTGCGTAAAAACTCGTTTGGAGAAGCAGCAGCTCCTAAAACTTCTGGTTTCATGTTTCTCGTTATTTCTTGCAGACAAACGTGGATAGAGAGCAAGTAAAGGCTGCTTTGAAAGCACAGCAAGATCAACAGATAGACAAGGTAATTTTTGTTGACTTACACGCCCGGTGTTGACCATATCGCACGGCGAACATTTTGAAATTTTCTGCTATCTTTGTCATGTTTACATCTCTGATTTGCCGAGGAAATGTCAGTTCGAGTGCTGGGGATCCTCAGATATTGATATGGCCCTAAACTTCTGCTGTGAAGAGTGATGGTCACCTTGCTTAAGAATTATAAAATCGTGAAGCCTTAATTAACTGTTGTCGTAATATGTCGTTGTGGCTCGATATGCAGTCATTACGTTGTCTCTAAGAGTGTTGGTAATTGCTGTCTAATAGGCATTGCTGGCCGAGGGACGTTTCTACTCGGATCTGGAGTTGACAGAGCAAGAGATACAGCGCATGGTGATTGAGGCGTCCCGCGCGGAGTTTTTTGAGGAGGAGAGCCACCGCCACCCAATTCCTTGGTGCGAAGAAACTTCTACGTCAGCCGCTGCTGAACCCTCCTCCTCTGGCACAAGTAAGTCTTTAGTTTACTCAGGATAACGAGTAGGGCGTCATGTATGTACCACTATCTGATGTGTCAACCTTGTGAACATGGTGTAACAATATCCGAAGAACTCGTATAATTGTACAAAGAGAATTTGGCTGAGTCAACACATACATGAAGTTTCGGATAATGTTTTCTGTTTTCGGCTTTTCATATTGCGTATTTGCCGTCTTTTGGCGCCTAGACCGACCTAAAACTACTAACTCCATATCATGTTAATGACATTCAAGTAAAACTTCTCGTGTTGTCAAGTCTGATCAAACTTCGGTTGAGGTTAGAGAGTAGATGATGGGAGGCGGGGGATTGAACATAGCAAATTTAGAAGAGCTTAAATTTTGGGACTCATGGTTCCTTCCGTAGGCACTTCAGCAGGATATCAAAACTGGACGGCAGTAATAAAGTACGGTGGAAAAGAACGGACATAGATGTAGTCGATGATCAAGAATTTGGTCCACCTGCTGGCCGGATCTTGGGATTTCCAAGTCTTAGATGAATTTTGAAGCAGATCCGCAGATACGTATTTCGGTCTAGTTTTCTTCTCAGTTTTGCTTCCGTAATATACTTAAAGCTCAAGGAAACATAAGTCACATGTTCGGATGAACTTTCTAGGCGCACGCTGTGTGCTGTATGAAGTATCTGTGCATATCGATTGTGAAGGAACTTCGTCCTGACACTGAGGTCAAAGGGGCTTAGTTTTGTCTGATTTGTCCCTTTGTTATCGTCTCCTTGCATCTCGGTGTCGAGTCCCGCTCCCCGCGTAACTCGACATCTTAGCATTTGATGACGTTCACGGTAACTACTGCCCTCCGCAATTCTTTTAAGGACTTAAGCTCAACTCTGACAACCAGCATAGCTTACCATCCAACTTTGGCCAATTTTCCATCATCTTTCTCTCCCGCTAGATTTATGGAGAATGCTTCACATCCTGCACTTACTTCTCCGACTGTTGTTTATGAGAGACGTATGTAAAACTTGCCTATGTTTGTAATCATACGTCGTGAGCTAGGTATATTCGTGAAGTAGATAGCCATGCCTTCGATAAAGTGAATATGGTAACTTTGCATCCTCCCAGCTCATTCCTTGCTCAAGATTCCCTTAGCTAGAAACAAAGATCGGAAGTTTTGCGCACAGTGCATTTTTGTTCGGTCTTGAAATTCCCGCTCTGCTTAGGAAGAAGGAATTTCCTTGTGGGTTCTGTTCAAGTTACCGGAGTCAACTGATACTGAAAGACCTAATTGAAAGATCTTTACTGCCTGTTGGACTTCGTAGGGTATGATTGGACGTAGTGTCCTTGTGTCGCCAAGCCAACTGGATCGAATGACTCCCTTAGGGTGTTTTAGAGAGCTTTAAGATGTCAGTCAAGTAGTCCCCACTTAGAGTCTCTCCACGTCGTGTGCTTTAAGAACGGTGAAGGAACTAAGTAGATTTAGTTTAGGTCAGGGTTTTGGTCAGCGTACGTAATGTGGGGCGTATGTCTCGCCCAAGCTATCAGGAAGGCATAAGTTGGCATTGCTTTGTTTGTATCAAGTCTGCATGCATACCAGTGAAAACAGCAGAACAGTGTAAGATTCCCGTCTCTCTGGCCGTTTTGACAGATTTGTTTTGACTTCACTTGCTAGATATTGGAAATTACCCTGAGTTACTGTCGATTTGTGACCTTGGATTGTTCGTAAGAAGACTATGAATAAGTTATCAGCGTGCGGTCTAATATCTTCCATTATCTGAATTGTCGAAGGCCCAGGATTCCATCTGTGGTTTTGAGGGAAAGGCTTGAAGTAGTTCTTCATATATTGGCGATACAATGAGTTATTCTTTCAATCATATTTTACTTCTGGCAAAGCCTTCTGGACTACTGTTTTCTTGACAGGTAATAGCACTAGTCCCCTACTACCTGAGACTAATTTGGCCTATTGCTGAACATTTTCTAAGATATGCATCACGTGGACTTGCAGATGGGAGCCCCAGAGGTGCAGCACGAACTTTGAGCCTGGCGGCTACATCGACGACTGCTACTGATTCTGGTGGTCTGACGAGCAATGTACGAATGCTGTTGTCTATGGGGTTCAGCTATTTGCAGGTTATGGAGGCGTGTAGCATATTCGGCGATGACGTGAACAACATGTTGTGCTATTTGTTAGAGACAGAGGGTACTCTTGGTGACGGGGAGAGTATTTACAGGATGAAAGGCAAAGCTGCAGAGAGATAGGCCTCCGTCCCCGTCAATACATCTGTCTTTGTTGGATTGTACACAAGTGGGAACTTTGAGAGCTAGTAGGGTGTTTCCTTGTGGAATTCTGCACAGAAACGAGCATTGAGAAGTTCTTGTAGTAATTTTCTTAAGCAGATGTCACGTCCAGTTAAAATGCTGGTATTTAGAGACTGAAGCACAGTTCTGTGCTCCAGAAAGGTACAAGGGAGAGAGGTATATTGTTTTGTGCTTGTTGATGTGAAATAAAGTTCAGATTAGCCGGAGTTCAACGAAAGTTTTTTGTTGCCGTTTGTTACTGCTGAGTTCGTCAGAGTATTGTATCTGTGACTATTTTCATGTGACAATATGTTCTCATGCTATCGGAAGGTTTCTCCACATCCCAGCCTGTGCACAGGTCGATATATGTCCTCGAAAATTTTGCGTTAATCACATCCATGTCAATTACATGGGTAAATTTGGCTGCTTTGTATCTTTTGTGGAAATACATCTGTAGCACAGGTCGTATTGTCGCTTCCACGAGTCTAAATTTCTATTGTTCTATGAATATATCATAGTTGGGTTCGAGGTGAAAACTTGATGGTCACCATTTTATGGTTATTGAGGACGCTTTGTGGGCTTAGGGCTTAGTTTCGCCTAAACAGATTAGTCCATCTCCAGATTAGTCGTACTCCAACTATCATTACATTATTGCATCCCTCAGTAATTTCTTAGCTTGGCGTTCATGTTTCTCACTGTTGTTCTTCTCACAGTCTCCAGCTTCTCGCTCTTGTACTGTACTTAATTTCCATTTTATGCATGTTGCTCTGATTTTGCGCACTTCTGCACATATGTGCATATTACATATGCGAATGTTGTATTTCCTGCCCGTCCTATTATTGTTGCAGTCCTTATTATATTTCTCGCTCAGTGAAATTCACATTGTCCTATTCACATGGTTCTCTTCGAAACTGCACGCATCTGCCCTATGCGTAAGAGCACATATTATGCATTATGTTCCGACAGCATTCGACACGCGGTCCTTCGGTCAGTGGAAGCTTGCTAACACGGAGCGTGTTAAGGAAGACTTTGTGTCCTGCTGGCCTTACCTTCCAAAAGCCATATTTAATGTATGATGACACGAATGAGTATTTAAAGATAGTCATCAATCTACAGTAATCTGCTTCTATCGATTTCAGCCTTATACTTCGTGGTTCGAAGATCCTTATCTCTACTCAGAAAGGGGATGGAAGGTCTAACTAGAGCTATTAAAGACTTGCCATGCGAACTTGTTCTTTGGTAAAGCCGATTACAGAGACTAGATTCTTCGTCGTATGTCTTCTAGGAAAATCATCTTCCGTAGGCTAGGTTGAGGCTCAGTGATAGCGAGGATCTTTTGCAACGTCTTGAAGTAGACATCCCTTCTACGGAAGCTCTAAGCATCTTTGGCGCTATAAGGATGTACTTGAGCTGCGGTGTGGGGCAAATGGTAGCTTCCGCCACCTACATGAGGAAGCCGGGAGCATGTGCAAGTTTTTCTACGTCTCTGTCGGTGCGTAAGATAGCGACGCTAGCGGCATGAGAGCACCGATCGCTTCTGGATCTGTGGATAGCGAACAGGAGAAACACTGCACAGATTCTTGTTCACAGCAATCGGTCAATGCGCATTCAATTTTTGAAAATGAAAGGAAACGACAAGGTCATCTCAGAAAGTGGGATTGTATATTCTGTTCACCATATTGCTTGTTCCTTGGGAGTTCTACATACATCAGCTTCAATGCATGGCCTTGTTCGTGTCTCATTGACTACAAACCAATTGGTCAATACATCAACAGTTGCAAGATTTGTTGACTCCTCCCTTACACTCTTCGGATCCAATAATTTGAGTTCCTAGAGTTGACTCCAGTCTAGAGCAGAAACGACTCAGACTTTTCGTGCACTTGCGGGACCTGAAGAAGCATGTTGCAGATTCATGAATCATGACTCGTAGACCACGGTCACGGAGCCGCCTGCCGAAACTGCAGTGTATGTAGCCTTCTGATACAAGTTTTTGTTCTGGAGTGTGCATTTGTCATTCCAGGTCACTCGGTTTCATGCTTTTGGTGGACACCAGCTACACCAGCTACACCAGTGCATCGCTCAACCGCATGGCTCATCAAGGCTCATCCGTGTCTGAGATTTATTCGCCATGAGCTCATGCCTCTCACCCAGAAAAGGCGAAAACGGGTTTGAGAAAAATCTGGAGGAGGTCAAAAGTCATGAAGAAGTATAATAGTCAGAGCATCGTGGGAGCTAATTCCATCAAACGGTACGATGCCATGCTCATGCTCATGCTCGCAGGACGACAGGAGGAACAGGTCAACTCTGTGTCAATGAGATAGAAGCACAAGCCTCGTCAAAAGCTCCTTTCCCGTTCTATCGAGGCTCGCTGGCTGGCTGGTTGGCTGCTTGCGGGAAGGAACTGTCCTGCAACTTGTTCGCCAGTTTCCGAAGAGAATCAGAGGAAATATGTCCACACTAGGAAATGGCACTCCTGTTTCAGTAGTGGAGTCACGGTGAAGAAACCATGAGCTCCAGGGACACCGAGGCACATCATCCGGCTGACGGGAATCTTAGAAAGAGACAACAATTTTTAAAGTCGAGGCGATGAAAAGAGCTCCGGGCCTTGAAACATCTAGAAAAGAGGCCATGTCAGAAAGTGAATGATGGAGAATGATCGAGTTGTACAGCTTATCGATTTTGGGAACGACTTCGCCAATGATTCCCTGGATTTGCACGGTGAGGTCAAATTCACCTTCAGTCTTATAGTGGAATTGAGGCAAAAGCAAGAGGAAGGATCCTACCTCGACGTCTTTGGACTTATATCAACCTGCCATCAGTTGTCATATTCTCAACCATGGTGATGATGGTGAGGATCCTGTCTGCAGGCAGTCCATACTGTGGGCTCTTGATTTTCTACCCGATCCGAGATCGATCGTCCTCACCACTAATATCGCTGAACCTCGCAGAAGCTGCAAGGTTTTACCCAGAAGTGAATGATATATATGGCCTTCAGAGGCCTAAACCCTGGGCCTATGGAATCTGCTAGATCCCAGTGGCCATAAATGATGAGGACAAGTGCTTTTCGGGGACCTTGTTTCCAAGAGGTACAGATCCTAGAATGTCTGTGCTGAATCGGCAATTTTGAAGACTCGCTCGCAGTTGACACTGAGCAGTGAATGTTTTGGTTTACATCACTCATCTCAACGACCACGGATCAGAATCCGGTCTCCCTAGTCTTCCCAGTTCTCCCAGTCTCCGCGAATGATTCGTCAATCACCAGGGGGATGCACAGGGATTTCCAGACAGTGGATGTGGGAGCAGTAAGTACTTCGGTATTCGAGAGGCGAGGGAGAGAATTAAGTGATTGAGTGATGCAGGGAGTGAGGAGGAGCTCGGGCGCTGAGGTTTCTCAATCGGGACTCCGGAGGTCCATATGGTGCACTGCCTATGGACGCGAGCAGATCTCGTTGTGTCCCACGTTTCTCGGCGCTCGAGTGGCTGGATCATCCGACTCTACGTTCATTGGAGCAGAAGCTCATTTCTGACGGAATTCAGGCCAGCCTCCTCCGCCTGCTCCTCCCTCCTCGTCATCATCCCCAAGCCATCGCTGTTGTGGCTGGTCGAGCACTCGCTAGTAGACAAGCCTAGATTCTCCGTCCCTCCGTCCCTCCCTCTCATCAATTGTCTGCTGTTTGGGATGTATCCCTTGGTCTTCTACTCGATCAAACTTGTCAAGTCATCGGGGCGTGGCTCCGATTGAGTGGATGGCTGCTAGTGGTTTGCTTCCCAGATCTAGTCAAATCACCTTTGCTGCCTCGACCAGTTTCTAGCCCATTGTCGAAGATCAAGATCAATCTATTTGGGACCACCCATTGACTGCCGCAACCATTTCTCTTGTTGCTGACAGTGAAGTTGTGATGAGCTCGTCACCAGACAAACACAGAGAGAGAGAGAGAGAGAGAGAGAGAGAGAGAGAGAGAGAGAGAGAGGCACAAGTTCTGACTCAGAGGTAAACGACGATGGTCTTGCATCGGCCCCATCCCACCCCACCCCACCCCATGACATGCCATGCCACCACCCTTTCTACTTACGTTCCAAAGTTTCTGTGGGGATCGTTCCCCTCATCCTTTTACTTCTGACTTTCACCGAGCTTCTCTTGTGCGCTCCTGCACCTGCTCCCTCCAATTCCACCTTCTCAGAAAATGGTCACGTCGCGTCGGGTCAGGTCCCAGGGTCAGACCGGAATGGAATGGAATGGACTCGAGTCGAGTAGAGATGAACCGAGTGCCACTGGTGAGGTGGAGGTTGAAATGAGAATGAGAGTGTTTGTGTGTGTGAGAGAGAGAATGGGGGAGGGCTGTGCGGAATCAGAATGTTGACTTCTTCCATCCTTCCTTCCTTCCTTGCTTCCTTCCGGGGGGAGGGTGTTGTCTGTTCGTATGAGAGTGTCTGTCGGTCCTTGACTCGCTACCTCTTGCCTTTCCTTGCCTTTCGTTTCCTTTCCATTGTCTTCCTCTTTCTGTGCGTCGAGAACCGAAGGAGGAACGACCTTCAAGGCCCGAGCGACCGTACTCCACTGTACTGGATGACTTTTTGGTGAGCGAGTGAGGATAAGCTGCTTGCCAGAGATCACGAGAGCTTTTCCACCTCCCTGCCTGCCTGCCTGCCTGCCTCCCTTCCCTCGCCTTGCCTTGAGGTTACTTGCCCCTCGGGCCCGATGTAGATCTGGCCGGGTCCAAGCGCTCAAGAGCCACGAGCCTCCGAGACCTTTTCCCCGGGGCCTCTCCTCTAATTTTCCCGCCTCAATAATGATCCAATCAGTGCTGATTGGAATCATGCACGCAGGCGAAAGACGGGCAGGCGGTGTTTCCCTTTCCGTTTGCGTCGTTGCCAACTCGGAGCAGCAGCAGCAGCAGCAGCGGTGGCTGTTTCCGAAAGGGTGAGTCTTGTGCGCGGGGGGCCAGCAGAAGAGCCGCCCCACAGAGCATGGGGAAGACCCACTTGATTGCCTCCCCTTTTGTTAGTACAGAATTTCAGAATCAGGAGGAATCAACGAGAGGGAGGCTGTTCACGAGCGGGCTTAACTTAATGCTTCGGGCGCTTTTATTATTCCGGTGCTACTCTGCTATAATTTCAAAAGTGCTTTCTTTTCTCCTCCTCCTCCTTCTCCCTCTCCTCCTCCTCCATGAGGCTTCCTCTCCCTCCTTCTTGTATACAATGGAGACATGTATATGAATGAGCTGGTCCTGGTCC